AAATAATGAGTATGAATCCATTGAGACAAACACAAGATTTAATAGATATGAAGATTTTCCTTACCCCTTTGCAGTTCCAAGTATGATTTTCATTCGTATATCCCATGTGAGAGGACTATACGATCCTACATCTCCATGAAGCCACTGTTCTAAGTTACCATTGTCTACATACTCATACACAAGCATCCTGAAAAACATACAATCCGAGATTGAAAAATCTATGGGAAACAAGCCTAATTAAGGCCAATTTCCGAAACAAAACAACCGGAATTGTACAAACTACGAATTTATCTTCAAGATGAAATAAAATACAAGCTAAATTTCAATGTTAGACAAACCTATGTTCTCCTTCAGCACAATAGCCGAGCAATCTCACCAAATTCTTATGCCTAACACGTCCAATTGCTTCAACTTCAACCTTAAACTCTCTCTCTGCTTGACCCCTGAACAAAAAAATGCGTCGAACATACAAAAAACAAAATAACATCATCCCACAGTAGTCTAAAACCTAAACAATCAATGTCCAATTGTCCATCTGCAGTTCAAGAAAATAAATTACACTCAACGTAGTAATATAAACTCTAAAGTATCCCAATTATCATCATAATTCATCCATGATAGTAAATAACTTCTCTATCCATGTAATATACAAGCAATGTAAACTTAGCAAAGAATAATTGAAGTAAAATACCTGTTATTGAGCAAATTCTTGACAGCAATTCGAGTGTTATCCTCCATGAGACCATGGTAAACAATTCCATACCCACCTTCACCAATCACATTGTCATCAGCAAACCCATCCGTGGCCTCTTCAAGCTCCCTCAGAGTGTACCAATGACCCCATCCCAAATGCGACACTTCCGGGGCAGCCATTCCGCCACCATCCTCCGCAAGGGGCCGGGCGTCCCCACTCCCATGGCCCGATCCAGAACGCGGCCCTACCTTTTCCGGGTAGGCAATTCGATGCCCCTTGCGAATCTCAACATGGATTCTTTGGTCCTCAACAGGGTCGGGTTCAGGAAGCGGCAAGGGTCCCGGAGCAGGTAGTAGCAGCTTGGGGTCGGTTTCCGGATTCCGGGTAGCGTCGACCCGAATTTCTTGGATTTCTCTGGAAACTTTTGGGATATTGGAATTTTTATGCGTCAAAAGCAACGTTTTCTTGTTGCTATTGCGCCTTGAGGTGATCCACAGAGAGATTATAAAGAGAAAAATGACAATTACAGCACCAACACAAATTCCAACAACGACCCACAAACGTAAACCGAAAATTGAGGTGTGTTTTGATAATTCATCGTTTAAAAACGCTGGCTTACCATCAGACATAGTTTATCCCTTTTTGTTTCTTCTTTATTTTTCTTCTTCAGCTGAAAAAAGGCCTCAAGTTTTCCACATTTGACTTTAAGCACAGTTGTATGAAAACCAGAATATCAGTGTGAAGCAGAAGATGACACTGAAGAAAGTAAAGGTGGGGTTTGGGGTAAGCTGTCACGATGGGACTTCTTGAAATTGAGACAGGTCCCACTACTGGTATTTTATTACAATAAACATGCATGTTTTCGTTTTGTCCGAATCTATTTATGGACTCAACTCAAATACACATTTCTGTACTATTAAAGTTTAGTTTATGTGGCTTAGATTGTATGATTATTTTCTTGGATTCTTTGGTTAGATATGGATTAACGATGATTACTTCTGCTGGTTGGTTGGTGAATTTTTCTACTAGTATTTCTTCTTCTTTTTAATAATTGAATTAATGTTGGGATTGTTTTATAATTTATGATAAATTGGATGTTAGTGATGAAAGAATCATGTGAAGACGGGATGAAATTAGTTTATTAAGAATAGGACAAAGCTTCGTGAATTTTCGATTCTTATATTTAGGGTTGATGCTTTTAAAAGTCAATGTTGTGTACTACATGGTTGTTTTGATGATGCAATGGGTTACTGCTGCAGTGATTCGGTGAGGCACATAGCATATTTAGTATGTTTGATATTTTAATACAGATGTAGCAATAATGGTGATGATAGTGGCAATTGCAAAAGTAATAGCATTACTTCGGGGGTGGATGCATAGTTACGAGATTCAATCTCGAGATTGATATGGTCAAAGAAGTAAGTCATCAAATTCTTGTTGAATCGGTGGGTTACTAGTTGCACCGATGGGTAAATGTTTGTAAAATCATATAGTTTTATAAAATAGAAATAATTATTTTTGAAACAAATGGAAAGTCCTAAATTGTTTATCATGAATTTTACATCATTGTCTTAAAGTATTGTTGTTGCCATAATATTCATATTTTTATTTTAATTCTGTAATGAGGAAAAAAAAAATTTAATCACAATTTTGAGTTTTTCGATAACTAGAAGGCTAGTAAAATATTTTCTTTAAGATTTTTCCATTTGATTATTAAATTTATATTTATATGTACTAGAATGTAATATTTTAATTTATTTTTATTAATTGAAAGTACGGGTAATATGTGGTGAATGTTTTAACTTCTAATAATGTCATTTCAGCGTCAGTGCGTTGAATGATTTTATCTTTCAAAAAATTAGGCACCTAATCCACAAATGTCATTTCACCATAAGAATAGATCATTTTCAATTAATTCACCGTTGGAAAAAAATATAAATCATTTATAAGTGGTCAAATTTAATTTTCAAATATACATTTCAAAAAATTAGCAAATATTACTCATTTATCCACCATTCAATTTTATCCATCTATAAATAAACCGTTTATAAGTTCTTTCCAAATGGACGCTAAACGATTAGCTTCGCCATAATACCAAAATATTGGAAATAAAATTGATCTTCCACCCCCACCGTGTAAGATAAAAACTTTCAACTGCTGATGTGGAAGAAAGAACCTTAAGTGTGGTTATCTGAATGTATGACTGTTGTAGAAAACCATATGTAAGGTTTTGTTACCACGTAAGCAGTGTAAAATTTTTATAGTGTCAACTGTGGACAGAAGATCAGACGTGGAAAATAGAATTGAATACTCTGCATTTGAAGATGGGACAATCTCTAACATGCACAAGAGTTGTGGATTATATGTTCATTTTTTTAATTGAAAGTTTCGCCTTTTAACAAGAGAGATATAATACTGACCATTTTATTTCAAAATGAATTTAGACTTTGAATATGCCACTTTCTTCATAGTTTCAAAATGAAAATTTGCCTTCATGTTAAAGTAACTTATATTCAGATATTCTCTAAATTAAAACAGTTATATGCCTAGTTAGTTTTGGTGCTATTCAAATCAAATTTTAGCCCAACGGCCACATTTAGAATTAGACCAAATAAAGAACCAAAAGAGAGGCTAATAAATTATCTGAGTGGTAGTCAAGAATAACCAGAAATCAGTGGCAGTTTTTCTATTTGAATCCAAACAATTTTGGCTGCCATTTTCTAGTGTAGAGAACGTCACTATCTTCCTTAAACAACCGTTAAGGGAGACAAATTCAAGACAAAAGTCAAAACACCCTCGTCATTTTTAACGTTACTCTTTGCTTCCATATTCGTGGTGGGGACGCGGATGGCAAAGGATATAAACAATTGGAATAGAGCTAAGCTCAAAATGTAATGAGGTTGTGTTATGTGTTTTATAAGAATATTGTTATTTATCGTTATAATAATGGAACATTGATGATATGACAGTCTATATAAAATAATGGACTTGAAGAGTTCAATTTTTATGATAGAGGAGGAGGGAGGAGAGAGAGAAATATGAGGAATAAGGAGTTGTTACATTACCGTTGTTTCATTACCATTATGATAAATAACATTACTCGTTTTATAATTATGTTTTCACTTTTTAATTAAAATTGTATTTTGTGTACCTTAGATTAATTAAGTTGGATAATTATATATGCACATTTCTTTTTGTAACCCTCTCATGCAATAAATTCTTTCTTTCTGAATAATGTTAATCATAATCAGATACTATAGTAGTCATCCTTATGTGGCAGCTTATTATTTGAGATAACAGAATTATAAGAAATTAATATCTCAAATAATAAGTTACCGCATGGGAGGACTATTATAGTCGCTTATTATGAATAATATTATTCAAAAAGAAAGGATTTGTTGCATGAGAGGGTTACCCACTCACGGAGAAAAGAATACCACTAGAATTTATTGTTCAACTATTTTTCTTTCTTTTTTCGATATTAATGATACTTCTTTTTGAGTTTAAACACTACAAAAAAACACGGCTTCAGAGACGGAATTTTCCGTCTCTGAAGCCTTGATTTTCCGTTGCAAACCGGATTTAGCGACGGAAAAATCCCGTTGATAAATCTGTCGGTAAACCGCCCGCCGGTAATTTTACCTACGAATTAAAAAATCCGTTGCTGATTACCAACATTTTAGCGACACGATTTTTGGTCGGTAATTACCGGCCGATTCAATCCGTCACCAAAATACCGACGAAAAATGGTGTCGCTAAAATACCAACGGATTGAATACCGTCGCTAATCAACAACGGATTTCCTACAAATTTTCCGTCGCTAATGCCTTTTAAAATTTAAAAGAAATGAATATATATATATATATAATGATGACATTCAATTTTTAATGTAAAGACTAATTAACAATTTACATAAAATTGCAAATATATCTCTTTAATTACATAATTTTTAAATTTCAAAACAACATAAAATGAAACTAAATTACAAGAATAATTCGTCCAACTATTGAAGACACTTTTAGAGGCTACATGTTGCTACACACACCATTCTCACAAAGGCTAAAATCCCCAAAATTCGTTGAAATACTTTTTGATACACTAGGCTGCTCCATGACATGATGGGTCGAGGATATGATTGTAAACCTGGAACTGCATCCTTATTGCATATAAATGTGACAAACATTGTCCCCTGATCAACAATAACATTANATGAAATTGCATTCAGTTCCATAATCTTACATTTATCTGATAACACCGTTAGACAAGTTGATCATGTTAAAGATGCTAGGACATTATGGACTGCCTTAGATGCCTTATTCTTGACTAAGACTTTGCCTAACAAGATCTATCTGTTGGAAAAATTATTTAGTTTTAAGATGGACCCGGGGAAGAATGTAGAGGGGAATTTGAGTGATTATAGCATAATCGTTAAGAGTTTGGTTCATAATGATAAGAAGTTTGACGATGCGGATTTAGCTGTCATATTGTTAAATTTTTTGCCCGAATCTTAAAAGAAATCAGAAACGCCATAAATATGGTAGGGATACCCTTACGTATGCTACAGTGGTAGATGAGTTGAAATCAAGGGAACTAGAACTAAAAAGAGATAACAGAACTAATGTGAGAGAAGAAAGCCTATTTGTTAGGGGCAGAACCGAAAAGAAAGAATTTAACTTCCATAACAAAAAGGGAAGGGGAAAGTCTAAAATGAGATCAAAATCTAAAAACAAAAGTGGTAAGAAATGTTATAACTGTGGAAAGTTAGGACATTTTAAGAAAGACTGTTTTGACTGGAAGAAGGAACAGAGAGATTTGAATAACACTAATCAAAACAATGCTAAGCATGGAGGGGCTATTCCTGAGCCTGCATTTCAGCCGAAAAATAGGAGGATGAACTGGAGATTTGAACGGTAAAAGGGAAGGAATTTCTGCCTTATTTAATGTCCCTGTTTCTCTGTTTTTGTGTCTCGTTTATGGTTTTATGCTTTCAGTTCTGAGTTTCTGTACTTCAATTTATATGGCTCATGTTTCCTGTAATTGATTCTGTAAATGCTATGGTATGCTTGATTACCATTGTTTATGATTTTGAGCATATTGAATACTGTCCTTGATTCCTTTATGTTGTAACATTGATTACATTATTGAATGGGCTATTATAGAACTCTGTCATTCCCATTCTAGAGCATGTTAGTAATCTGTTCATTGGTTTAATGAGCTTATGAACTCTGTTAGCTTAAGCTTTTGATGTCTGCATTATGCTATAATTCCCAACATATGGTATCAGAGCTAGATTTTTCGATCTAGGGTTTAATTGCATCCTCCATTTAATCTGCTGATTAGGGTTAATTGTTTTTGGGCATTTTAGGGTTTCTAATTCGATACTGATTATTGGTTATTTTCTGTGTGTATGTTGGTGGCTGGATTGGGTGATAATGGAAACTTGAATTGGCTGAGGAACTGGTGGTATTTTTACTGTTTTTCAACAGTAGTTTGGTAAGATTATTCCAAACTCTCCGATAGGTTAAGTTTAGTACTTTTACCATTTTATGCACGATTGCTTGGTTACTAAATTCTTGTGATTAATTTGTAACCTGAAAAGCACGTTTATCTACATTATATACTTGTGCAT